GGGACATAGATTTCTGATCTTTGGCTAGACTGAGTAAATGTTGGTGGTGCTGAGGTGGTAACAGTGGTGGCTGCCGCCTCTGTCGTGGTGGAGGTGGCGGTGGGGCTGGTGGTTTGGTCCCGTGCCTCTTCTTTAGCCTCTTGTTGGTACATTTCTTCTATCATTGGTTTCCACAACCGAACCCTAGCATTAATGAACCAGTTTGAGACCTGAAATTAAGACAAAAACAAAACAAAAATCGTGAAATCATAATATTCAAGAATTAATGCACTTTCAGTGACAGATAGATTAAATGACTCATAGGAATTTAATGATGTTATGTTATTGTCTCCATTCAATAATAATAATAACTGCAGAAAAGTAAAACCTACAATCTAATAAAGCCCACCAAAATTATCCCAGTCTATCTAAGAATGTGTTGATTTTTGTTAGTGTCTGTTTCCCCAATACGCTTTTATAATTTGGCACATTACATAATAATTAGAGAATGAGAAGATGTTAATGTGTTAAAAAATGTGTTGTCATAGTTCATGTTGATATAGCCCTTGATTAGGGTTCTAGCAATGATGTTTCATGGTGGATAATTAATAATGATTCTTGAAAAGTATCAAGGTGCAATTTCCAGGGAGGGTATGCTATTAAACAAAAAAGATAAATCTTCCCAAGGCCCCGTTGACATCTCCGGGCTTTCTAACGTTGCCATCAACCTCCGCATCCCTTTTGTCATCGAGGTGCCATTCATGACTGTGCTAGGCTCTTTTTTTCATCATATGGGAAGGAAAAATAGCAAAAAATATCAAGTATGATTATTGATGGTAATTCTTGACAAATATTACATTCCACTATCTTATTTAAAAGCTTAAACTGTTGACATAAATGTGTCAGTCGCATCTAGATATATAGGTTTTTTTTTTTTTTTTCCCCATCAAATGCAATGAAAAACAACTAAATAAGTATGTTTTCACTTAAAGTACAGATCATTTACTGAACGTGTTTAGTGGCTTTCAATGTGCATCTGATGGAGGGGAAAGAGAGAGAAATTAGAATTGAAAAATAAAATTTAATGTCTCTATCTCCTGTACATGGCTCTGCACTTACTATTCAGTGTTTTCTATCCTTATCAGAGTTTATGGCTTAGTGTGAGTGTGAGTGTGAGTGTGAGTGTGAGCAGCATTATTTCTAAAGAATGTATTTTAGAATAGTAGATTGATCGACAATGTGTAGTTAAAATGATGTCAAATCATTGTTTAAAAATATATATATATTTTTTTCAAATAATATGGCTCAAACAGGGCCTAAAGTGTGGTGAAAGGCAAAAAAATAAAAAAAATAGTCAAGCTAGTTTGCCATATGATTTTGCCCACCTATTTGACAATTGCAATGTTGACAGCAGATGATTGGATGCAAAAACTAACTATTTTTTAAATAAGGCACCTCCAAGGAAGGTAGGCAAAATATTCTAGCAATGTAGCATGATTGATCATAAAAACAATTTTGGCTTTCCGCAAACAGGAATACATTTATAACTACTATAGAATACCTCATATTGGCATAAGATACCCAATTCTCATAGCCAACCAATCAACCACATGAGAAGAGGTAACACCTTTAATCTTATTCTCTTATGTAAATGTCCAGGAACACTGGAATTAGCTTTCATATTTAGAGCGAACTCTTATAATTTTTGTTACATATTTGTTCAACAATTATAATGAAAGGAAGAATTGGACGTATATTGTATACTGGGAAAAGGTAAAATCGATGTGAAATCAAAAAGAGGAGAAAATTGGGCATATGGGCATAATTTGTGCATCGACTCCAAGTCATGCGTGCGCATGGGCTTGGAAACAAGCCCTTAAGGCTGGTTTTCAATTTTGATTTCTGGTAATTTTTCATGAAAAATCCAAATTTTCATGAATGGTTGACACTATTTTGTAGGATGCGAGGCCATAATTTTCAATTACAAGTACATGAAATCATCAATTGAATCCATTTTGTAGAGTGTCATTATTCCAATTCATTTTCATATTCAAACTTTTAGCGTTGTTCAAGTTCTTGAAAGAAAACACAAGTGTTTAAGTACTTTATTCTTAAAGACTTGTTCAATTCTACAAAACATTTGTTAGTGAATCCCTTTAAGCACTCAAAATAATTCTAGAATGGGTAAATATCGTTTGAAAACAGCAATTACGTTTTTCGAGCCTAATTTCTAGTTGAATTAATCTCCTTGTACCAAATGTCTTACCTAATTTTTGACCGAATTGACAAATGACGCCCCCTATTGGAGGGGCGCCTGTCCACTCCAATAAAGACGCGACATTTGTCAATTCGGTCATCCATTTAATAAATGATTTTTCCCTTTCTAGTTTTGGTATTCTTGCATTATTGTGTTCTTTCAATGGAATCGTTTGTTTTCTGTCATATGGCCTTCAATGATAGAAAATCAGGGCTTAATTAATAACAATTAATTAATACCTAGAGTGATGCAATAAAAAACCAAAATCACGAAAAACTATTTCAGCAGAATTCAATCCATAATGAACTAGATTTTAATTTATTTACGATTCCATTGTGCATGCATCTGCAAAAGGACAAGGTGATTATTACAAAGACTAACCTGGTTTCTTGATAGACCAGTCTGTCGAGCCAACAAATGTTTATCTGCATCACTTGGGTACCTGAGAAGACACAAGGACATTCGATTCAGTGTCCTCTTCTGAACAGTATGCATGCATTAAAATTACGTAAATAAGCTTATTTACAATCTTTATTTTATTTATCTAAATTTCCTGTTTGGGCGTGA